CCTCCAGCCACCTCATCGGCACCCAGCCCAGGCCATGCAGCTTCCTCGTCCCCCAACCCAAAGTTGCTGCCCCCCCCAGGGCTCCGCACCCCCCCCCTCACTCCCCCCCCAGAGGCAAGTGACTAAAAACGCAGCTGTGCCTCCAGCGCCCCGCGCAGCCCCTGGTGCCCCCAGTTGCACCCGTGGCTGCGCTGCCCCCCAGGGGCCTGCTGACTCGCTGGTCCCTTCACCTGGAATGCTCTCCCCAGAGCAGAATCCACTGCTCTTTGGGGCTCCTCCAAGGCTGCCCCTCCCTTCCCTGTCTCCACCTACTTGTTCCTCGTAGCCTGGGGGGATCCGGAGAGTCCACGATGTGGCTGGTACTGTCCTTGTCTTGCACTGAACTTGGGCTTTCTGCCTGGCTCCCCACTGGCCCCCAGGCCCAGTCAGTGGTCGGGGCGACACAGCAGCCACCTACAGGAGATGTCGAGCTCGAGCAGCAAGGCCCACGTGTGGCACTGCTAGGCGGGTGGCCTCCACCTGCCAGCCTTGGGGTGGAGTCTGTCCCAGGGCCCCAGAGCTGGGAGGCCGTCCGTAGGGCAGACGCGGGCCGGAGGGAGAGATGCCAGGGCTTCGCATGCCCAGGCCCAAGGCTCAGCGTGGTAGCTGACCCATTTGCCAGTCTGCCATCCACCCTTTTACATTTTCAGACGTGCGACAGGGTGAGGCTGTGGCTGCTGGGCGGGGGGGTGGGGGTGGATATAGGGACCCTGGGCGGGCTCCCTCCTGAGGCCGCAGCTCCTGCCCCAGGAGCCTTCATCCCCCCCAAATCTGAACGCAGAGGTCTTGGGCTGGCCCCCCAACACCAACCTCGGCCCACTTGTGGGTGCTCCTGCTGAGCTGGGCACAAACCCCACAACCAGCACCTTTGGTTCTGGAGGCCCCCGGAGTGCCTGATTAGGATCTCTTTCTTCTTTATTTTTTTTTTTAAAGATTTATTTACTTATTTATGATAGAGAGAGAGAGAGAGAGAAAGAGAGAGAGAGAGAGAGGCAGAGACACAGGAGGAGGGAGAAGCAGGCTCCTTGCTGGGAGTCCGACGTCGGACTCGATCCCAGGTCACCAGGATCGCGCCCTGGGCCAAAGGCAGGCGCTAAACCGCTGAGCCACCCAGGGATCCCTGGGTTTCTCTTTCTTCTTAAAGGTGGTTTCAGCTGGGAGGGGCCAGGCTGGCTTAAGGGACAGATGTGCCAAGAACAGGGTCATCCTCCACTCCCCTCTGGCCTGACCCCTCCACCTCCCCGGGGTGTCTTGCAAATAGCTCAGCTCAGCCCCCTGCACACAGCTCTGCCTCACACCCCCTCCTGCAGGGATGCACTGCCCTCCCCAGGGCTCCGGCCCCAACCCGCTCCCCTGGCTCTGCCGTGGCCACCCGGCCCTCGAGGGACCGGCTAGTGGAGAGAATGTCCCAGCCCCTTCCAGCCTGGCCATGGGCAGGGGCCCCCTCAGGACTCACCCTGTGGGCAGGGCAGAGGGAGCTGGGGAGGAGCCGGATTCCTGGGGGAGCCACAGGCAGCCTACCTGTATGCGTGTGCATACAGACACGTGCGCCCGGGCACACACAGGCAAGTGTGCACCCCCCACCTGACTCCCCGCTGCGTCCCTGAGGCCCCAGAGTAAGCTCGGGAAGGTTTTGTCCCTCCGCCTGATGGCCCCCGCCAGCGTCCCCACCTCTCGGTGGCGGCTCCAAGGCCCTGATGTCTGCCCTTCACACCCCGTGCCGCCTGGTGGCCGCCACCAGGCTATTTTAGGTGCTCGGGGCCGCCCTCCCCCAGGCTCTGCTACTGGCCACCTGCCGCCGCCTGTCCGCCTGGAATGCCGCCTGGCAGTTGGCCGGGGTGGGGGCTGGGGACGGCCGGTTATAAGGCCGGGCGCCCCAGGAAGGCAGCCGTCCCTTCGCAGCCCGCCTCGGTCCCGGCACCATGTCCACCCACCGCCTCGTGATGGTTCGGCACGGCGAGAGCACCTGGAACCAGGAGAACCGCTTCTGCGGCTGGTTCGATGCTGAGCTGAGCGAGAAGGGGGCCCAGGAGGCTGCGAGGGGGGCCCAGGCCATCAAGGACGCCAAGATGGAGTTTGACATCTGCTACACGTCCGTGCTGAAGAGGGCCATCCGCACCCTCTGGACCATCCTGGACGGCACGGACCAGATGTGGCTGCCCGTGGTGCGCACCTGGCGCCTCAACGAGCGCCACTATGGGGACCTCACTGGCCTCAACAAGGCAGAGACGGCCGCCAAGCATGGGGAGGAGCAGGTGAAGATCTGGAGGCGCTCCTTCGACATCCCGCCACCCCCCATGGATGAGAAGCACCCGTACTACGGCTCCATCAGCAAGGTGAGCTGCCCAGGGCTCCGGGGGAGGGTCCAGGGGCAGCGCCCGGGGAAGGGCGCCCAGGACCGCGGGAGGCACTGGCTATCTGGGGAGGGAACAGCAGTGTGGATGCCCCCAGGAGCGCCGGTACGCGGGCCTGAAGCCCGGGGAGTTGCCCACTTGCGAGAGCCTGAAGGACACCATCGCCCGGGCCCTCCCCTTCTGGAACGAGGAGATCGCTCCCCAGATCAAGGCTGGCAAGCGAGTGCTCATCGCGGCCCATGGGAACAGCCTGCGGGGCATTGTCAAGCACCTGGAAGGTGAGGCCACCCTCCTGCGGGGCGGGGGCGGGCATGCAAATCCTCATTTCAGCCAAGTGAGCCCTGGCCTGCGGCTCTGCAGACGCCAGCACGCATGGGAGGGGTTCACACGGTCAGTGGGGAGGACCAAGAGACCATTCTTAAAAAACACTTTGTAAACTTGTTTCGCTGGTGTATGTCCTGGGACACTGGAAAATGAGTGTCACGCCGAAGGCTGTGGATGAAAGGGCCAAGGCCCTGTGTAGGGGCTGGGAGGCCTGGGAATGGCCTGGCCTCCCGGACACAAGCCTGGGCAAACCGCGGGAGGGCCCTGCCCAAGGACACCCAGCACGGGGAAAGGCGGGGCCGTCTGGTCCACATCCATTTGTTGTGTGACCCTGGTCAAGTCACTTCACTTGCTGGGGCTCAAGCACCTTCTATGGGGTGGCAGGACTGCTCCCAGGACTGCCCACGCCCATCCCTAGGACCCCAGCTCACACCCACACCAGGCAAAGGTTAAGACCAGTGAAACCTGGAGTGCAGGTGTGGAGCATTCCTGACCCCTGGACCTCACTGGGTTCCCACTAAGGAGCACTGGGGGGTGGGTGGGGGACTATACCCTCCCAGCACGGCACACTCCTCCTCCGGGCTTCCTGTGAACGCACTCTACACTGCACAGATGCTCAGGACAGTCTAAGCATCCGAAAGGCCTTGCAGCTTGTTGGGACTGTGGGAAGGGGAAGGAGGCAGATAGGGTGGGGAGCACCAAGCCTCCTGCTCTAGGGGTCGACAGGTTGCTGGCCAGAGCAGACAGGTGGCTCCCCGCCGCCAGCCTGGCCAGCCCCAGTCCACCCTCCCCACAACCACCTTGTGGCCGTCCCTTCCAGGGACTAGGTCTGGGAGAGAAGCAAAGAGGCCAGCGACAGTCTCCCACTGTCCGCAGACCTGGGGGGTGGGGTGTCGGAACTGCAAAGGTCGAGCTGCTATTCCAGGCCAGGGGCTGCAGAGGCAGGCAGGGTCAGGTTTCCCCAGGAAACCGTGCCCTTTCCACCCACAGGGCCTCCCCTCCTGGCCACAGGAGGCCCTTCTCGGTGTCCCCTCCACCACCAGCTGTCAGGAGCACCCTTGCTCTGGATAGCCAGAACTTAGGACACTCTAAATACCCAACATCCATCAATCTGGCCAGAAGAGACTGATGCCGAGCAGAGGGCCCAGGTCCCAGTGGCTCCAGTTTGGGGGCACGAGGTCCCGGTTGACCACAACTTTCTGCAAGCCACTTGGTCTCTCATTTCTGGCTGGACCTTCTTCAGCCCCATCTGCACTGTGGCCAGCTGCTGGGGGCGGGAGGGCTGCTGCCTGATGGACTGGGCTCTGTGGCCCAGAAAGGTCACAGGGCCTGCTTCATGTGAGGGCGGGCAGCTGCCTGGCAGACTGAGGACTGTGTTCCCCGGCCCAGGGATGTCCGACCAGGCCATCATGGAGCTGAACCTACCCACGGGGATCCCCATCGTGTATGAGCTGGACCAGGCGCTGAAGCCCACCAAGCCTATGCGGTTCCTGGGTGACGAGGAAACCGTGCGGAAGGCCATGGAGGCTGTGGCCGCCCAGGGCAAGGCTAAGTGAAGGGTGGGCTTCTGGCAATAAAGGCACCTCCTCCAACCACCTGGAGGCCCATGTGACTGACCCCAGCATGCCCAGCTCCCAAAGCTTTGAGCTTGGGGTTCCACAAACCTGGCCCAAGGGTGCTTGGCCCCTGCTGCCCACCTCCATTAGGTGTGAGGGCCCCAGGAACCAAGGGCAGGGGTCTGGTCCCCAAGCTGCGCTATCAGGCAAGTTCTGAGAGGCCCTCTATGGTGATGCCAAAAACTGAATGGCCACCTGGTAACCCTGATCTAGAACCAGGGTGGCTGGGGTGACCCAGCTCTGCCCAGGCAGCAAGGACAGCAACCATGGCCAGTTTCCCCCAGATGGGGTGTCCTCTGCTGTCCCTGCAGCCCCAGGGTGAGGGGCAGGGTGCAGGGGTACCAAGCACCACCTCCTGGATGTCCCCACACCTGAGAACAAGCCCACAGCAGCCTCAAAGCCTGCAACATGGGACCTGAAACCCCCACAGCTTGGGGGTGGTGGGGAAGAAACAAGATGGGCCACCTGCCAGCATCCAGGCCCAGTGGTCTCCTTAGAGCGGCCTTCAGCCCAGGTGCTTCCACTTGGCACCTGCCAGGGCACACAAGGAATGGCCCTGCTGACATTCAGGGGGGTGCCAGGCACCTCACTCGATGCGTACACGCGCTGCCCTGTGTGGGCAGAGGGTCCCCATGGCATTCAGAAGACTGAAATGCAAGAGGCGGACTTCAGTCACATCTTTACTTTTGTGCCTCTCCCAGGAGACCATGGTGGGCCCCAGGTCTGAGGGCGCAGCGTGCACACACACCCCAGACACCCGGGAAGGGATTGGTTTCTACACGGGGGTATTCGGGTCACGAGAGGGCAGTGCTCGCTCCAAAAGCAGACACGAATGGGCCAAGACAGACAGGGTGAGACAGCAGGCACAGGCTGCTCTGGTTCCTGAGCCAGAGTCAGGGGAGCGCACACACCAGGGCCAGTAGAAGAGGGCGTGCCACACGGAAGGACACGTTTGCTGATCCTACACACAGATTGGGGCTTAGTTATTTATCCTGTCCGCACTGCTCACTGTCTGCCACGCAGGCAGGGGGACAGAACTGGGAGCACAGGGCAGGGTCCGGAAAGATCACCTACTGCTGCCCACCTACTGTCACGACCCACTCAGACTTTGGTCCTAAACTCTCAGTTCACTGACGCTGAGCCTCGCTAACAGCTGTAGCCAGCACCCTTTAGAGCCAGGAAAAGGAAAAGGCAAATACCCCTGCGCAGACCGCCCGGTGTGGCAGTGCTGTCCCCCTCAGGCAGAGGCCACGGAAGGGCTGGCCATGGGCAGGGTGTGGCTCCAAGTCCTCTGTGGGGTCAAAGGCCAGGCTGGGAGAGCCTGGGAGCTGCGATACCAAGTGTGGGAATCACAGGATATTGCTGCATCTAGGGTGACAAGAGGCTGAGCACCCAAGTCTGAGGGAGCCCAAGGGCTTGTCTTGTTTGGTGGGGGGGGGGTCCCATTCCTGGAGGAGCACAGTGTGGCTCTTGTGCCGGGCACGCCACCTCTCCCAGAAGTAAGGAAAGCACATCTGGGTGGGGAAGGGAAGGACGGCCTTGCTGCAGCCAGCAGTGGAGGGTCCTCACTCAATGAGCTCCACGTAGTTGGCAGGAAACATGCCAAAGTGGCCATCTGGCCCGTAGCCACGCCACCAGCCCTCATCGATCACCTCGATGCCTGTGATGAGGTTCTCGGGGTCAAAGGAGATCTCAGTGTCGTCGGCTGTGGGAAGGGGAGTCTGCACTGGGGCTGGTGGTCGGGTGCCGGCCACTCTCCCCTCGGGCCCCCCACTTCTACACAAGCAGCCTGCTTCCTGAGGCTCCGCCCAGGACCACTGGGGGCCCCGTGTCCAGGTCACCCACCCCTCTGGTCACACTTGCAGGCTCTAGCACAATGCTGGCACCTGGGATTCACGCCAACACATGCTGGGTGGCTGCCCAGAGCACCAGGGGGAGGCCTGGGCTGTGCGGGCCGTCCACCCCATCCTCCCCTCCCCTTTCTATCGCCCTGAGGGAGCCTCTGAAGCCTGTCCCTTGACAGTGTAGGGGCGGGACCGCAGCACGTTACCTGCCTGGTAGTCGTACAGGGCCCGGGCACACAGCCCCTTCCCGCGCAGCCCTGGGTAGGAGTCCACATGCTCAGAACCAGCATCCTGCTGTGGCACCTGCCCCCCGAAGAAGAGAAGGGAAATCTGGGGTCCTAGTTACAGGCTCACTGGCTGCTGCTGCCCACCCCCCATGACCTCCCACAGCAGAGGTGAGGCAGACAAGTTACTGCAAGGGACTGCCCCAAGGTTACACAAGATAATCCGCATGTAGGAAGCTACTGAAAGTCAGGCATCCCGTGACTAGTGTGGTTGAGAGAGCATTTCTGGGTACGTGACCCCTTCACAGCCAGGCCCTGCTGTGGGGAACTCACCACTGGGGGCTCCTCATAGAGAGTCTCCTGCTCCGGGGGCTCCTCGTACACAGCCTCCTCTTCCGCCTGCACCACACATGGTGGACCGCTGGACATGGGCTCCTCATGGATATCTGCACAGGAGGATGCAGCCCACTCTGAGCCCGGGAAGGGGATCGCACACCCTTCCTCCCTCCCACTTCCCGTCCCCAGCCCCCCAGGGGCAGCCAAATGCCTTGCCTGCCCTGGGCCTGGAGGAGGCCTGGGTGGGCTCCGGGCTGCGATGGGTCTCTGGCTGGGTGAGCTGTTTCTGCAGGAAGGGGCTCCTCAACTTCCCTGCAAACCAAAGGTAAATGCACCTGCACTGGACGAGGAGAAGATCTGCATCCTGCACTGGGACAATGGCTGTCGCACAGGAGGATGGGGGGGGCACACAGCAGCTGAAGCGCCAGCGGTGTGCACACCCCAGACACCCAGGGCACAGCGTGGGAGAGGGCAGCAGCGTGGTCCTGCGTTGTGCATGCTGCACCACGGGTTAATAGGGCCGGGCTGGAGGGTCTCCCCTCTGAAGCCACACATGGCCCTTGCTTTCCAGGTCTCTGCAGGATGAGGCTATGGGCAGGAAAGGGACACCTGAGGCCCAGGCTCCCCTCCAGAAGCCACTCTAAGGAGTGCAAGCTCTCCTTGCTCACTTGCCTGTCTGCGTGTCACTACCTCTGGGGGCCCCACATTGAGATCCTAGACTCTTGCTCGGCCTGCCCCCACCTCACGGTGAGGTGCAGAAGGAAGACTCACCTGGCTGGGGGCTGGAGATAGAAGTGGTGGACATGGCCCTCTCCTTCTGCTTAAAGATCTCCCGCGGGTGTGCTGGCTGACTGACCGGCTCCTGTGGGGAGTGCATTTGGACCCAGCGGTGAGGGGTCCCGGAGATGTGGGAGGGGCTCAAGGGCCTCATCCACACTGGCCGCTTCTGCCCTTCTCTCTCCACTGCCACCTCCTGTGCACCCACAGGTCCCAGCTGGCTGCAGGACCTTTCCAGCGGCCCCTCCTAGGCCTCCGGCTGGGCCCCCAGCATATCAGGGACCCCTCGGAGTGGGAGCACCCATGTCTCACCTGATCTATGTTCCTTGAAGCCACTTCCTGCTGCTCACTCCTCCTGCTGGGGGAGCAGAGGGAGGTGCTGCCGCCCAGCTGCAGCCCATGTGGGACCCTCCCTCTGCCCTCCCTCTGGGGCCTCACCTCTGGGGTCCCTCACTGGCCTGTGCCTCTTGATAGCGCTGCTCCCGGAGGGCCGCCTCCCGCAGCTCCCGTTCCCGGCGTTCCTGCTCCAGTCGCTGCCGCTCCTCCTCTGCCCGCCGCTTCTCTTCCAGCCTGCGATTCTCCTCCTCCTTCTGCAGGGAGAGCCGACCCCGCCTGCCCCACTCAGCACTTGCACAGCAAGCAGGCGAGCTTCCCTTCCTGCCCCCCACCCCATGCAAGTGTGCTCGAGCACAGCCACTAATGAGGACACGTGCTCTTTATGAGAAACACAGGGACGGCAAAGAAGACACCCTGACACCTGGCACGCACGATCTCCTTGAGGGCTGGCTGTGCTCGACGCACCCGCACAGCACTCACCTCTGCTTTGGCCCAGAAGCTGTCTTTGCCGACCCTTTTGATCTCAGAGATGGCGTTGGTCTTCTGGTACACAGAGCCCTGTGGACGACAGAGGATCCACTACAGGACCGTCTGTGAGAGCACAGAACGTGAACAATAGTTGTGGGGACCGTGCCTAGCAGCAGCAGTGGCACCTGGCCCGGGGCCTCTTCACCAAGATGGCCTGAAGGCCCCAGGAACCACTGGGCAATGCCAAGGAGGGTCTTTGGCTGCACTAGGCCCCAATGGATAGAAGCCAAGGAGGTTCTGAGGCTGGCCGCTTCTAGGAGCTGGTCCACTAGCCTCAGACAGTTGGTCACCGTGCCAGTGTCCAGGGAGTCTCCACAGACTGCAGCACTGCTTCGGGGAACTGGGCTCCCCATAACCAGGATGTCTGGTGTCTACCCACAGCTGGAAGGGGCCTGACCATCCAGCACTTGAAGCTCCCCCATGGTGCCCACCATCCAGGGCCGTGCAGGACAGGCTGGACTGTCCTGCAGAGCCTCTGACCACACAAAACAGGTGTAAGAGGCTCCAGAATAGCCAGTGGAACCAGCAGGCAGGGTAGAGGGCTGCTCCGGCTTCTCTCTGGTCTGGGCTCACCATCTGCACCTAGATCTGCCTCCAGGACCGGAAGCCCATGAGGGATAAGACACCCTTGGCCCCGGGCAGCACTCACCACTGGGGCCTGAGGGCCTATGTCCTGGAAACGGCCACTCTCCTTGTGGAAGGCATAGTTGGCTCCTGAGGCCCTGGCCACTTTCTGCATGATGCACTCAGGCTCCACGTCCTCCTCAGCCCTCGCGTTGATGGTCACATGCGCCCCCTGAAGCAGGACAGCACCTAGGTGTTGCAGCTCCAGGAGAGGACAGGATGCAGCCCCAAGTCTGCAGAGCTCAGACAACTGCTGCCTGGGGTTCGAGGTCAGGAGACCCTGCTGGGGCCCTAAGCACGCTCTCCACAAGACCGACAAACTACCTTGAGGCAGAGAGCCTGTTCTCACCCCAGCACCTTGCCCCTGCCCAGGCTGATTCCCCAGGGTTGTGTGTTCGCTGCTGGAGGCCCAGGCAGGAAATAGTCCTGATTAACAAAACCAACAAACTAACAAAAAGCCAACTTAAAAAAGGATCTGGAAATGCAATTTCTGCAAAGAGCAAACCACTTATTTCTTCTTCCTTTTTTTTTTCTTTTTGTCTTATTTATTCAAGTAATCTCTACACTCAACCTGGGACTTGAACTCAGGACCCTGAGATGGAGAGTCGCTCACTCCTCACACGGAGCCAGCTGGGCGCCCCAGGCACCAATTTCTTCTTGAGAAGTCAGACCCATGACCTCACTCCCTGCTGGTAAACATCCAACAGCTTGGGATCCTCTTTCAGTTCCCAGATGGAGAAACTGAGGCATGTCTGAAAAAGCGTCAGCAGACTAGAAATCAAAGTCCTAGATCTTTTTGCCAGTAACCAAAGAAATGCAGGTTATCTGACAAGCAAACAACAAAGGCTTCTGGAACTAAATGAGGTTCCACTGTGAGGACTGATGTAAATACACACAGAGGTTGGCTACAAACAGGGTACAGGGGAATGTGTCCGCTGAGGGGGCTGGGCACCTGCACCCTTCCTGCTCCTCCAAATCCTGATAACACGGCTGAATAAACCCTCACAAAACCAACGGAACCCAAGACCTCACTCCAGATTGGCCTTCCCTGTGCTTGAAAAGGACAATCGCCTGTTCCTCCCCGCTGCTAACACCAGCTTGTTGGTCGCTCTGGCCGTAGCATGGCCCTCTGGGTGCTGGCCGAGCAGGAGCGCAGCAGCCTCTGCTCACGTCCTCAAGTCCAAAGAGAGCATCGGGGAGTGGGACCCACTTCCGGTTCTAGCTGTGATTCGCGCTCACGCCCGCCCAGGATCGCAGGAGCCTGGAGACCTGTGTGAGGCCTTCAGGGTGCAGCCCTCACCTTCAGAAAGCTGGCCATGGTGCTGACGTGGTTGGCACACGCTCCCTTCCGCACATCGTTCACACCTTCGCCTGTCTGCAACATGACACACCCAGCGTGACCTGCCAACTTCCCACCGCCCTGCCTCCCTAGGGACCCAGCAAAGGGACAACTGTGACCCTACAGCAGACCATATGGTGAGCCCCACATCCTTCAAGTCAAGGAGGTTCTTGAATGCAGGATGACTGCCAGCTTCCACTGGTGGGGGTGGGGGGTCGCCTCAGAACCTCCTGGTCTCTCCAGGCCCTTCGCTCCCTCAGGACGACCCCCTGAAGGGGACAAATGTGTGGGTATCCTGGACTGTACTGCTGGTTGTGGGAGTGGTTCTGGGCTAGCAGTGCCCCCACTGTCCTCTGGGGCACAAGGACTTCATCCACCACCTCTGAGCTGCCCCGAAGACAGGTCCTCCTCCACTCCCACCACGGAAGGCAAAGGAGGAAAGCAGGAAAGGGAGCTTTTCGGGGTCACGCCTGGATGAGAACTCAGAGCCCCCAGGGTTCCACATACCCAGTTGATGAGGACAAACTTGGGCAGGCCAGAGTTGGGGTCCTTCACCCTGCAGAAGGCGTACATCACCTTCCCGCTGTTGAGCTCCTCCACCATCTCCTCCAGGCCCCCCTCTGCAGTGGGCACAGGGAGGGTCAGAGGGTCCCACACCTGCTGCCTGCCCTGGCACAGTGCCCCCCAGGAGAGGAAATCCAATCTGCCTCGGAACCAGGGCTCAGTGCGGCCTGCAGAATCAGACTCCTCGTCCTGCCCCCACTAAGCTGCTGCACAGGATCTGTGTCTGTGACAAGCACCTCAGGTGAGATGTTCCACATTCCAGCCTAAAAACCATTCATATAAAACCCACAGACAGCTCCACAAACAAAAATGCAACAAATGTTGACAGTCATGCAACAAAGTGGGCATGAAGCTTCCAAACGGAGGGTCTCTGCAACCATCTTCCTGCTGCCTGGACCCCACAAAGGGCCCTGAGCAGATGGGACCAGCCTGCAGTTGTGCTCGGGCTCAGCTCTCAGACCCTCCACGTAAAGATAAGGGAGTGACGGGGGCACAGGAGCGGGCCCTCTTAAGCTGTTCTTATCAGCACCCCCAAACCCACCCAGGCTGTAAGGAGCTGGATCGAGTAATGTAGCTGGAGGGCCCCCACGGGCTTGAGGCAGTGCTGAGCCCCTACCCTGGGCTCTCACAGCAGAGCCCTGTGAGTACCCCTGGGGTGCTGGCAAGAAACACAGGGACCTGAGACCTCCTTCTGAGCAGATGACCAGCAGGGAGTGAGGGGGGCAGGTTTTCTAGCCCAGTCAGAACCACTGTGCAGCCAGTGGAGGAAGTGCTGGTGAGCACTTGCTGAGTAACAGAGCTGCATGTAGCTCCAACACCGACACTGTGGTTGGGAGCGGTCCTAGCAGTCTCGCCACGTGCTGGGACGCCTCTGTGCCTGCAGTCTCCTTGCATTAGCTGTGATGGCCAAGGCCGCCAGGGAGCACCAATGCGTACAACCCGCACCCCCCGCTGCCCCCTGCCTTCACTGGGACATACTCACCGCCTGTGCCAGCCACACGGATGTCATTGCTGTTACCCTCATAGGTAAAGAGAGCCCTGAAACAAAACAAACAAGCTCTGTGGCCTTTGCCACACCTGCCAGGAGCTGAGCGTGACAGCCGCATGGGCCCCACCAGACCCCACGGGCCTCCCAGGTATGCGAACTGGAGAAGACAGAGAATTTCCGTGCCTTCCAGAACCAAAGCACCCCAGCAGGTGAGGCAGGAAATGGGAGTGCGCACACTGGGCATCTGGGAAGGCAGCCCAACACACACCCAACACCACAGCCTGGTGCCTGTGTGCTCTGCCTCCCAAGAGCCTGAGGAGTTGGTGCAGCAGGTCTCTCTGGGCTTGGGACTCTCCTGGAAAACCCAGAAGCCATGTGGGCCATGACTCAGCATGAAGTCAGTCTCCTCACGGGACAGACTCCATGGTTGGGAAAACTCTTTCTGGAGGAGCCTTAAGTCTTCACAGGTGACCCTGGGCTGCACCTAAGAACTCTGGGAAAGATTCATGCCTATGAACTGGGCCCGAGGTGTCCAGGAAATACAGCAAATTTTATTAGGTCTAGGGCATGGAAAGTTGCTTGACCAGCACAGAGGTGACCCATGGAGAACTTTCTGGAAGAGGTGGCTTATCCACAGTCCACACAGGGCCCAACCATCAAGAGCCGCAGTTCAGCTCCAGGCGGCGCTGGCAGACGGAGGGTGGAGGGGGTGGGGTGCTGACCCAGCAGACAGCAGGTCAGAGGCAGAACCTGGACTAGCGGGTCATCCCCCCATGCTCTGAGCACAGGCCTGCCCAGGCCGGCCAGACAAGGGCCACAGGGTAAAGAGCGTGACAGGAACCGGGACGCCTGGCTGGCTCTGTTGGTGGAGCGTGCGACGCTTGATCTCGGGTTGTGCCTTTACGCCCCATGTTGGGTGTAGATATCACTTAAAAATAAAACCTTAAAAAAAAAAAAGAATCTGACAGGAATGAAATCAGCCTCCACTCAGCATCCCTCAAGGCCTTGCTAAGGCCACCAGGCAGAGCTGCCGAGTGTCAGAAAGTGGGAAGAAAGGAGCCCCAGGCCTAGCCGGTCTGCCTGGCAGGGGGGACAGGCCTCCGAGGAGGAGACACACACTAGAAGGAACACGCCAACAGGGAAAAAATATGGGAGGTGCTGGACGTCCAGACTCTGGGGGCCGGAGTCCTGGCCAGCCTTCCTGGGGGAGGAAAGAAGCCTGTGTATCTCGAAGCCACCCAGCCCTGGCTGCAGAAGACGGGGACGCCAGACAAGCTGCAGGGAGCAGAGATACTTTCTACTTCCAAGGGGCCCGTGCCTGCTGCCTGCCCTCTACCTTCACTCCCCTCGACTCTGGGCTCCAGCCTAACCCACTTTCTGGAATGCTCCTGGCTCAGAGGTTCATTCCCACATTCAACAGACTTCTCCATCTTTCAAATCACCGTGGACAAGCGGTGTGCTCGCCTGGGCACAGCACACGGAGCGTGGTGCACCAAGCACCTGGTAATACAAGCAACCCTTCCAAAAACACGTACTGAGAACCTACCGCTTGCTGGTCCCTGGCATGAGGCTTCCAATAAACCCCAACAGGCCGGGACCATGAAGCTTACTTTCTAACAGGAGACAAAAAAGAAACCCATCCAGACTAACACCCTGTCAGGCAGCAAAGTAGGTGCAGGAGGTAAACTCACACGCCTCAGTCTAGAACAACCTTGGGAACCAAAGCAAAGACCTGTGATGCAGAGCTGATATGCGCTTGTTCCCCACCCTCCCTAGCTTCAGGCCCCCAACCGGCATAACCTGCTCTGCACCCACCAAGCCAGAGCCCACCTTGTCTTGCTGGTATCCTCTGCCCCATGTTCTGTACCCCTCTAGGTCACTGTCCATGCGAGCCCTGAGGGCACACAGCAGCCTTGCGCTGGGGACAGAGAGGGCCCAGCCTCTGTGGCGAGGAGAGCAGCGTCTCGCACGTATCTAGGGAAAGTCGTACAGAGTGCCAGGAGTCAAGTAAGGCCTCTCCAAGAAGGCAGTGTGGGGAGCCCCCCAGGGTGATGTGGAAGGGTGCTCTAGAATGGGGAAGCAGCAAGAGTGAGAGGGCTCTGAGGAGGAAGCAGCTCACAAGTTTGAGGAAGAGAAAGAAGGCCACGGTGGTGGCAAACAGGTGTGGCCCCAGTGTGGTAAGTGGGAGGGGTGGCCAGAGGGGTCAGGAGCTGGCCACGCAGCACCTAGGAGCCCAGGCAAGAGGTCTGAGCTTTATTCCATGTGAAAGAGGAAGCCACTGAAATTTAAGCAGTAACCTGTCTATATACTTGTTCAGCGAATAAGTGGGGAGAGGCCACACATTCTCTGTTGGGATGTTTGAGGCTGTGATGATGAGAGAAGCCAAGGTCCGTGCCACTGCGTGTATGACCTGCAGTGCTGCAGGAGGCTGGCTGGTCAGACGGAGGTGGGGGGCTCTGACTGGGCGAGGGGACAAAGGGAAGGTAGGGTGGTAGCAGACAGCTGTGAGACGCAGCCCAAGGAATAGCTAGAAACGTGGGAGGCCTGGACTGCCCACTGGGCTGTGGGACCTCCTCGCCAAACCAGTGATGGTCCCTGAGAGTGAAGACTCCCGAAGGAAGGCAGTAGGAGGCCTAGGACTCTGTCACGTAAGTTAGCAATGGCTATGCTGGACAAGAAAGGGGACGCGAAACAGCAACACCCTAAGCGAGCGGGACTGGAGAGGGACAAACAACACTCCCAGGTTCCAAAGTCAGGTGGCCTCACGTGGATGTGAAACGGGGCACCCAGCGGCCGTATGGTGGTTTGGAGGAACAGCAGGGTTCTCTGAGAATGGGAGAGGCAGGACGGGGGTGGGGGTGGTGACACTTGGAAACTCAGAAAAATAAGAGCCTGATGTGTGCGGGAACTCCGTACAGCATCGTGGAAGGAGGAGGCACTGAAGCCCTTCCCAACGTGTTCCCCACGAGCTGCTGGCTCCCCGGCAACACCGCGCAGAAGGCCCACCCGGGGTCCCCCGTGTCCGTAGACCCAGCTAGCCGGTGCTGCGGCGAGCGCGTGTCCCCAGGCCTCGGGGCTGGCTGCAGGGCTCCGCAGCTCTGCCACCCTGAGAGGGACCTGCCCCTGCCCCGGGAAGACGCTCCTTCACAGCCGGTCACCCTTGGTCATCACACTCAGCGTCTTTCTTAGGAAGTGCTCACAACTGGTCAGCGAAACTGAAGGCCACCGGGAACGCAGCGGAGGGCCACGCGCAGCCAGCGGGGCCTGCAGGACCCACAGCCGCCCAGGGCCACCGCACACCGCACACCGACCGCCCGGGAGGGCGCCGGGGCATACGGGGGACGGGGCGGCCGCGCAGGGCTCACGCGGGAAGGGCTGTTCTGGAAGGAGGGAGACTGAAGCCCCCAGGCCCGGAAACCCGGAGCCCCACGCACGCCCCTGAGCTCCCGGGCGGCCCGGCGCGGCTTCCATCCCTCGGGGAGGGCTGCGCAGAGCCCCTCGGTGCGGGGGCGTCCTGGGCGGGGCCTCCGGCGGGGAGCGCAGCCGGGGCGCGGCGGGGAGCGCAGCCGGGGCGCGGCGGGGCCGGGGCGCGGCGGGGCCGGGGCGCGGCGGGGGCACCCCACCCCCACCCAGCGGACGGCGGGACCGCGGTGCGGCGGCTCACCTGCGGTCCCGGGCCCCCCCAACCCCCCCGGGGCCCACCAGTCAGTCGGGGACTTCTCGGTGACCACCCTCACGTAGGCCTCCTGCAGCGCCGGCCCGTTCCGGCTCAGGTTCGCAGCCATCGCCGGCCCCGCGCTCCCCTCGCTACCGCCACCGCCACCGCCACCGCCGCCGCTTCCGGGCCCCGCCTACCCCCGCGACCGGAAGCGGAAGCAGGCGGAATGGCCCTAGGGGAGTGGGCGGGCTCGAGGGGAGTGGGCGGGGCCCGGCGCTCCGGGGAGGCTGAGCGGAGGAGCGCGGGCGCGGCCCGGGAACGCGGCTCAGCACCCCAGGCCCTCGCTCCGTGAACGAGTCGCGCGCGCACCGGGGCACCGGCGGGAACGAGCGCCGCGTGCGGGCCACGGCTTCCTGGGCCTCTGAGCCTCCCCCCCGCCCCTCCCCGCAGGCCCGCGCCCTGGCCCCAGGCTGCCCGGTGCGCCCCGGGGACCCCCACGCAGGACCTCCCAGGACCCCGCAGGCCAGCGCGCCCCGGTTTCTTGCGAGATCAATCAGCGAAGCGGAGCCTCGGGGCGCCTCCGGGCAGGACCTGCCGAGGTCGGGGTGTTGGCGTCCAGCTGTGCAGATGCGGGCCTGTCACCGCCATCTGGGCGCGTGGGTCACGGGCTCTGTGCGTCCTGGACGTTCGACTGACGGACAGTGGGGGCCGGGAACCCTGCACCCTTCAGGCCCTGCCGCCTGCAGCCCCTCCCGCCCGCAGTCCGCCCTGGGTCTGGCCTCCTGCAGGAGCCGGGTCTCCCCCTTCTCCAGGAACTCAGGCCTCCCAGCTCCCCCGATCTTTCATTTGTTTATTCTTCGCTAACTCGTCCTCTGTTCTAGTTTTTCCCTCAGGACCCCTTCAGGTGACTTTCTGCCCCATCCCAGCCCCTCCCGCGGCTCCAAATCCAGGGACGTTCAGCCCTCGGCCTTACTGTTCAGTCTTCTTCTTTTTGGCCCCAGTGCATCTTTGTTTTTTTTCTTCTTTCTCTGGAAGTGGTCTCTATTTAATCACTGCCTAGTTACCAGTTTTTTAATTCCCCTGGCTGCCAGGCCCCAGCCTAGGGACCCTGGACCCCTAGGAGGTCAACATATTAGTCAACTTGGGGAGAACCCACATTGCCTGAATCAGGCTGTGCAGGCCGAAGAGACAGGTCTCTTGGTTCTGGAAATACATGAGCTGGGTGTGGTAAGCAGGTGCATCCACGATGGTGAGGGAAAAGCAGGGAGACCCAGGCTCCATGTAGAGAAGGCTCTTAGTGGGGTCCCTGGTGTGGGAGGGTGGGGGCGCCAGGATTTTGCTTTCTGCTCCAGGGTGTGGGAGCTTGTTTCCACCTGACAGGCCAGAAGAGGCCTCTCTGGGCAGGTAAACCTGGAGCAGAGACTGGCTATGGGGTGGGGAGCACGGCTGTGGAAGATCCAGGAAGAAGTGCTTTGGGCGGAGGGAACAAGATGTGTCGGGGCTCTGAGGTGCGGGGGAGCCAGTCTAATGATGGGCTGATGATGGAGAACAGGGAGAGGGAGAGGAGGGAAGCTGGGTCCCAGGGGACCCTGTAGGTCAGGGAAGGACTTTGCGTTTTATTCCAGGTATAATAGAATCCCGGGGAGAAGGGGGCTCTAATTAGAGAGCATTGTGATCTGGTGATATTTTAAAGGGGTCCCTCTGGTTGCTCTGTAGATGCTTCCATGCTTGTTCCTTCAAGTGTGGCTTGTCTGTGTTCCTGTTTCCTCAACCTATCACTCTTTTTGGTCAGCTACTCAGTTTGAGAACGTGAGATGTCCCCAGAGGTCACCCCAGACTCTTCTGTCTTCTCCTTAACTGATTCCCTACTCTCCAATGAGGGTCCACGTGCTCTTCTTGCACGTGGGTGCACACAGAGCTGCTTTACTCCTGGTGGGTTCAGATGGCAGATCTTGGGCACAAAACCGGAGCCAGAGCCAGTGTTCTCTGCACTCTAAGGCAGCTGACCGTGTCCTAAAGGCATCCAGGCCAAGTGTGGAGGGAGGATCTTGCCAACAGACTCCCTTTGGCGCCTGCCATGTAGATAGAACTAACAGGGTGAAGAAACAGACCACTACTGCTCAGTCATAAAAAAAAAAAAGAAGGAAATCCTGCGATTTGCAATACCACGGATTGACCTAGAGGGTCAGTGAGTCAGACAAAGACAAATAATATGATTTTGCTCATACGTGGAATTTAGAAGAATGAACCAACCAACAAAACAAAACTGAGACAGACTCAGAAACAGAGAACAGACTGGTGGTTGCCAGAGGGAAAGGGGTGGAGGGGTGGGCGATTAAACAGGTGAAGGATAGGAAGGGGTACAAACTGCCAGTCATGAATGTCACGGGGATGAAAAGTACAGCAGAGGGAATATCGTCAATAATGTGTGTGGTCACTTTGTGCGGTAACTCGTGGTGAGCATTGAGTAATGCACAGAATAGTCCAATCACTGTGTTGTACACCTGAAACCAATATCACACTCCAGATGAAGGATAGTTCAGTTAAAAAATATACATTATCCCCTTGTAAGACATATAGTAACACTGTGTATACACAGTTTTCATAGAAACAACATACTGAATCAAAACAAGAAAAAACCCTGACAAGCACAGTGTTTGCATCCATGTGGGCTCCTCTCACAGAGCACCACAGAAGGGGGCTGGTAAACAATGGAAATTTAGTTTTCACAGGACTGGAGGCCAGAAGGCCAAGATGAAAGGGCCAGTAGTTTCGGCGTCTGGTGAGAGCCTGTTCTCTAGTTAATAGATGCCTGTCTTTCGTGGAGTCCTCACCTGGTGGAAGGGGGTGAGGGGGCTCTGTGGGGTCTCGTTCAAAAGGGCACTAATCCCCCTCATGAAAAAAAAAAATCTCCTTCACGAGGGCTCCACCCTTCTGACCTAAAAGTCCCAGCTCCTAGTATCATCACCTCGGACACTGGGATTTCAGTGTTGAAATTTCGGGGGACACAGTCATTCAGGTCATTGCGACCATTAAGTGGGGATTGCTGCTGATGCAAAGCCTTCATCAAAAGGAGTGTCCATTAGCAGAAAAAACATTTTCTGAGAGCCACCAGGATGACATCTTTCTGCTCCAGCAACACATGGCTGCACTCCTACAGAGTTAGAGAAGTGGAACAATTGCTCTTCCTGTCCTAAACAGAAAACCTTACACTACATGGTAAGTGGAACCCAGTAAACAAATACCTGATTAAAACAACACCGCCACCTTCCTAGTGGAGTCCCTATGATGATTTAAGCGGAGAGTAAGAAGTCAATGGCAAGGAGGTGGGCGAGCTGCCTTCCTGACCCTGGTTGGGGACTCTGGCCCTGGGGCAGGGGGGTACCTGCAGGGCGTTAAAGTCTCGGCTCCGAGGGGTGGCCCATGGCAAGGACAAAGCATCCTCCTCCAGCACTCCAGCAGGAGGATTGCTCTCCTGACACCCCAGCTGTTTACAGAGGCCATGCTTGCTGTGAGGGTCTCAGGCTTGCCCAGCCCCACAGCCACCCCAGCAGCCATGCCTCCTTTGGGAGCTGGTGGGCCCTTTGGCCTCTGGTCATTCCTGGCTTTCCTGTGCTCTGGCCAGGCTGTGATTATTCCTGAGAACAAACTCGGAGGCAAGGCTGGCCCAAGCCCCAGAGGGCACTTCTTTCATTTCTTCACATGGATAGAGGGACGGAGGCACTGGTGCCTGTGTTTGTGCTACTGAGAGGTCTATGCTCTGATGACAGTGACTGTTTCCCTAGGGGTCCAGGGTGTGAAATGGTCACAAGCTAGCTTATGTGAATTGTGCCGTTCACTTCCCAGGAACACCCATATTCATCTTGCCAGTCCTCAGTGATGCTTCCCTGACTCCATTTACCGCAGTGCTCCCTGTGGCTCCCTGACGGCCCCAGGGCCCCAGTTTGGGAACAGCCATGTGAGAGAGCGTCCCCAAGTGCCAGGCCAGCTACCAGAATGTGCTGTGCGCCCTCCGGGGCCTAGTCTGGGCAGAGGTGTTCCCTCTGCCTGTGGAGTCTTCCTCCCTGTCCATGCTTCTCCACCCTGTGGCCTCCTCAGTGGGCTACCAGAAGGCACACAGCATGCTTTCTTTTTCTAATTCTCTTTCCCTTCCTTCCACAGCTTGCACACTGTAATCATGGAATCAATGCTTGGCTAAAGCCTTGATAGCATTAGGAAGTGATTAGGAGGGCTAGCCAGCAGTGACAACCTGCTCCTATGAGCAGCCCCAGGCACCATTATGGGGGGGCAGGGGGCGGGGGGGGGCAGCGGAGGTGAAAGGCAGGCTCCGAGGGGCCAGCTCTATCATTGCCCCCCAAAGCGGAGCCCAGCCCAGCACCTGCATTTGGAAGAAGCCCTGTTGCAGATAGTCTGTGGGCCTCTCTGTGGGTTGTTGAGTGGGGGCCTGGGACAAGCAGGGAGGGTAGGGACGGAAGGAGACATTTTTCAGGGAACTCAAGAAATTGCTCTCTGGTCTGATAGTTTTTATGGATTCTCTATAGCTGTTTGGTTTTGTGACTGATAAAATCTGTCAACAGAGAGAAACTGGTGTGATGGGGATGACGAGGCCAGGAGACTGGCCAAGAAGAATGATAGGTACTTCTCCTGTCACCAGCAGGCAGCACCACCTGGCACGAGGCTGCTGTCCCAGGGAATGGCAGCCACATCCTCCATTTCTCACAGGACCAGCCTCTACCCAGCACTGCTGGGGAGGAAGCATGTGTCATAGTGAGAAGGGCCAGTGGAGGAACAGAGGCAGAGGACAAGGAGGGGGTGGTGAGGGCCCATGGTGACCTTGAGGCTCTTTCTCAGCACCACCTCTCCCTGGGTATGAGGGACAGACCTCAGGCAGAGAGATCTGCAGACCAGTCCCCCAAGCACATCTCTGCCCCCTCCTTCTTTTTAAAGATTTTATTTATTCATTTGACACAGAGAGAGAGAGACAGAGAGAGAAGAGAGGGAGTGCAAGAAGGGGGAACGGCAGGGAACTACAGAGGGAGAAGCAGATTCCCCACTGAGCAGGGAGCCTGACGTGGAACCAGATCCCAGGACCCTGAGATCATGACCTGAGCTGAAGGCAGACGCCTCACCCACTGAGCCCCCCTACCCCCGCCAGGTGCCCCTTGCTGTTTTCTGGCCCC